GGGACTTCCCTCATTCATTATCCTTTCTTTCCCATCTTTCCAAAGTGGACAAACCCTTCTTCTGCAAAATCCTCTTTCAACATCTCCTCCCCTGTTGGCCAGAAGCCATGCCCCAGGCCAGGACGGGGACCCCCACCAGGTGTACCTGCTCCTCAGCACTTTTGATTACGACGAGCTGGGCCCCCACCTCCTGGCAGGCGGTGATGGAGTCATGCCAGTTCCGCTGGGAGTTCGATATGAAGTAACAGTTTCCTTGGAAGAATGTCCACTCCCAGGGACAGGGGCGGCACAGGCGTTCTGTTGCGGGAGGCCGGTCAGGGCTGGGCTCAGATGAGGTCGTCCATATTCCTGTATCTGCCCAGCCTTCAAGGTCTTGAGAGTCGGAGCTCTTCCTTGACTGTCCACGCTGGGTGGACCATTCCCCTCCCCACTTCCCGAGACCCTCCCCCATCCCCATGAGAACCTGGGAGTCCTGGCCCCATCTCCCCCAGACTAGGAGAAGTCGGGGCTTTAGAACTTAGAACAGAAGGCAGGATACTGGCTTAATTCAGTGCCTACTGTGTACCCGGCCCACTGTAAACACCGAGTGCCATTATCACAGTTACCCTGTGTTCTCATTTCACAGATGAAGAAACTGTGGCTCAGGCAGGGTCAGTGACAAGCAAAGTCACACCACACAATGACCATCTCAGGCCCAAGGAGCCCTGGTTCCAGGAACTCACCCACTGCAGCCTTCAGCTGGATCAGCTCCTGGTAGATCTCCTGTTGCTTGGACCTGTCTGGCAAGCCATCGACTGCAGCCTTCAGCTGGGTCAGCTTCTGGTAGATCTCCTGCTGCTTGGATTTCTCTGGAAGCTCACCCACTGCAGCCTTGAGCCGGGTCAGCTCCTGGTAGATCTCCTGCTGCTTAGATTTCTCTGGAAGCTCACCCACTGCAGCCTTCAGCCGGGTCAGCTCCTGGTAGATCTCCTGCAGCTTGGATTTCTCTGGAAGCTCACCCACTGCAGCCTTGAGCCGGGTCAGCTCCTGGTAGATCTCCTGCTGCTTAGATTTCTCTGGAAGCTCACCCACTGCAGCCTTGAGCCGGGTCAGCTCCTGGTAGATCTCCTGCTGCTTGGATTTCTCTGGAAGCTCACCCACTGCAGCCTTGAGCCGGGTCAGCTCCTGGTAGATCTCCTGCTGCTTGGATTTCTCTGAGAGCTCACTGACTGCAACTTTAAGCTGGGTCAGATTCTGGTAGATCGCATCTTGTTTGGATTGTCCCTGACTTAGGGAGCTAGGGACTTTGGACACTGGGTCAAGAAAGAAAAGGAACTGCAATTATTAAACACCTACTGTGTGCCAAGCCCTGAACTGAGCCCCACGGGGACATCATTTGTGAGAGCCAAGGTCTCCGTTAATCGCCTTTGAAGATGAGGAAAACTGACACCCGGAGAAGGCAGCACAGAAGGCCAAGGAGAGCCAGGTTCTTCCCCTCCTCCTCCTCCTCCTCCTCCTCCCTCTCCTCTCCTGCCCTAGAGTGGGGAGGAGCTGTGGGAGAGGCCCCTACAAACCCCCAGGGACAACATCTTGACTCTCAACCTCACCTCCCTCCCAGACCTGGCTGCCCCAGGCTGTGTCCACAGCCAAAAGCCAGGCCTGGGGACCCCAGCCCCTCAGAACCTGCGTCTGACCTTGGACAAGGAGCCCAGCCAAGAGCGTGAAGGAGAGGAGTTGCAGCGCCAGGGGGCCATGGCCAAGACACCCTGAGAGAGGACACATGCGTCAGCCTGCCAGTGTCCCCACCGGAGCCTGGCCCAGGGGGAGCCTGGCCTGAATCTCTCAGCACCCCAGGACTCAGGAACCCCAGCCCCAGCCCCCTCCACTCCAACACCTGGGAATCCAGGCCCTAGCTCGCACCCCCCCAGGACCCAGAAACCCCATTCCCAGCGTACTCCTCCCAAGGTCCCAGGAACCAGGTACCTGGTTCTACCTCCCCAGGATCCAGGAATCCAGGCCCCAGCCTCTATATCCCCAGGTCCCTGGAACCCAGGCTCTTAGCCCCCACCTCCCCAGGACCCAGGAACCCAGGACCCAGCCTTCCCCTCCCCAGGTCCCAGTAACCCAGGTACCTGCTCCCGCCTCCCCAAGACCCAAGAATCTGGGTCCCAGCCCATACATCCCCAGGTCCCAGGAACCCAGGCCCAAGTCCCCACCTCCCCATGATCCAGGAGTCCAGGCCCAGGCCCCCACCTCTCCAGAACCCAGGAGTCTAGGCCCCTGACCCTACCTCCCCAGGACCCAGGAACCCAGGCTTCAACTTCTATCTCCCCAGAACCCAGGAGTCTTGGCCCCAGCCTCCACCTTCCCAGGAACCAGGAATTCAGGCCCCAAACTCAACCTCCCCAGTTCCCGGGAGTCCAGGCCCCCAGCCCCACATCCCCAGGACCCAAGAGTCCAGGCCCCAGTGTCCAGCTCCTCAGGACCCAGGAGTTCAGGAGTCTCTCTTCTCTCCTCCCAAGCTGCTAACTCCTCTCTACCTGCTAAGCTCTTGTAGCCTCGAGTCTGTCGGAATCCAGCGCCTCCCAGCTGTTCCTCCTCTGAATGGATAGATGTGAACTCAGAGCCCGGGCAGGCTGAGGCCAGGGCTGGCCATCCCTTCTCCCTTCCCAGAATCCCAGCGTCCCAACCCAGCCTCACCCAGGAGGCCCAGCTGCTGCAGTCTTGGTTCCTTGGAGTCACTCATGTCACCCCACTCTCCCGCAGTGTCCAGAACTCCTGGGAGCTGGAGCTTTTGTTTCCCATCCTGTCATCTTTACTTCCTAAATCTAGACTCCCACAGGAAGAGAAACAGGAAGTTGGGTAGGTATCTGTCACCCAAAAGGCTAGTGGAAGGGATCAGAGCATGAGATGGGCCGGATCTTTCAAGAATTTCAGGGAGGGGGTGGGTAATGGTTTGGGGTTGACAGGGAGAAGGACTGGTCCACTCGTGGATGGCTGAGCAGTGAGATGCTTTTCATGAAATCTGATAAATTGTTAGAGAAAGCTACTGTGTTATACCCCCTCCACCTAGGGCAAGGGTGGGCAGGTAGCACCCCCAGTTGCTGGAAGCACTGTCCCTTGTGACCTCCTGGCTTTCCTGCCTTGAGCTGCTGCTGTCCTCATTTTTGGGAATTCTTGCTGACTTCGGGAGTTGGGGCAGAATCATAATTGCTTGTTTATTTAATGCCTAGGCTAGTCAGGTACTTTTCCAACAGCTTTATAAACTCATTCATTTAGTGTTCCTACCCTTCAGTAGATCATATGACCTCCATTATACAGATGGGGAAACTGAGGAGGCACTGCAAGGTTGGCTGACCGGCCCAAGGTCACATAGCTGGTAAATGGTGGGGTTGAGACTTGAACCCAGACAGTCTCACTCCACAGTGCATGCTGTTAACCAAAGAGTGAAACAGTATCAAAGAGGAAAGAAAAGATCCATAGCAGCTTTATTTAGAATGATCTGAAATTGGAATAAACCCTGTGCCCACCGGCAGGTGAATGATAAAAAATATAATGACATATTTAGAGATTGGAATACTATACAGCAATGAAAAAGCTAAGTACTGATTCATTTAATAACATAGATAAATCTCACAAAACAGGAAAAGGACCAAGACAGAGTGAGTACACACTGTAAGATTTGATTTTATGTGAATTTCGAGAACAGGCAGAACTAACCTTTGAAGGAGACTCAGAATGGGAATTATCAGGAAGGAACCAGTGGAGATTGACAATGGAGTTTCTGTATGCTGGAAATGTTCTATATTTTGATCATAGAGATGTGCATCTACCACATATGTGTTAAACCTCAATGTAAAGATGGAAAATACCTATATGTATCATAATCAAATAGTGGTTTTGACCTGATCTTTACTTTGTATTCTTAAAATGTTTTAATTTTAGAATAATTTTGGGTTTATAGCGAAGTTGCAAATGTAGGAAACAGATTTCCCATACGTAAATTTCTAACCTCGGGATCCCCAGTGTGAACCCAGTTTCTCCTAATGGTAACATTTCACATGGTAATGAGGTAGGAAACTGGTAGAACTTGTTTTTTGGCCACAACCCTGCAGACCTACACAGAATCTGGTTCAGATGAGATGATGTGAAGAAACCAGCAGGAACCAGCAGATGGCAACAAAAGCAATCCCTGGCTGCCTCATTGCTCGTGGGTATAGGATGCTCCCACCAGTGCCCTGACTATTTACCAATGCCATGGCAACAACCCAGAAGTTACCACCTCTTTCCACGGAAACAACCTGGATGTTGCCACCCTTTTCCTAGAAACTTCTAATGAAACTGCCCCTCAATTTGCATTCACCCACCCCTTAACTGACATATAACTGAAAGTGAGTTGACATGAGTATAACTACAGTTGCCAAGAGCTTGTATGTTGTTGACTCTGGGTGCACTGCCTATGAGTTAGCCCTGCTTCACAGGGAGCAGTACCATTACATAAAAAATCTCTGTCTAAGGCCAGGTGCGGTGGCTCATGCCTGTAATCCTAGCACTTTGGGAGGCTGAGGTGGGTGGATCACAAGGTCAGGAGTTCGAGACCCTCCTGGCTACATGGTGAAACTCCATCTCTATTAAAAATACAAAAAATTAGCCAGATGTGGCACGTGTCTGTAGTCCCAGGTACTCGGGGGGCTGAGGCGGAAGAATTGCTTGAACCTGGGAGGCTGAGGTTGCAGTGAGCTGAGACTGCAACACTGCACTCCAGCCTGGGCGACAGAGTGAGATTCTATCTCAAAAACAAACAAACAAACAAACAAGAAAACGGTGGCTCACACCTGTAATCCCAGCACTTTGGGAGGCCAAGGTGGGCACCTGAGGTCAGGAGTTCGAGACCAGCCTGACCAACATGGAGAAACCCCATCTCTACTAAAAATACAGAATTAGCCGGGCATGGTGGCTAATACCTGTAATCCCAGCCACTTGGGAGGCTGAGGCAGTAGAATCACTTGAACCTAGGAGGCAGAGGTTGTGGTGAGCCAAGGTTGTGCCATTGCACTCCAATTTGGGCTACAGAGTGAGACTCCATCTCAAATAATAATAATAATAATAATAATAATAATAATAATAAACCAAATAAACAATTTAAAGTAAAAAACCTACATAAGTATTGCAATAGATCAAATTAAAGTGTTCAATAAACCTCAACAGTGACTCGTGATTTACATTTTTAAAAGTCTTAGTCAACTAAGAGTAAAAGGAAATATCTTTTTTTTTTTTTTTTTTTTTTTTTGCGATGGAGTCTCGCTCTGTCCAGGCTGGGGTGCAGTGGTGCGATCTCAGCTCACTGCAAGCTCCGCCTCCTGAGGTCATGCCATTCTCCCGCCTCAGCCTCCCAAGTAGCTGGGACTACAGGCACCCACTGCCATGCCCAGCTAATTTTTTGTATTTTTTAGTAGAGACGGGGTTTCACCTTGTTAGCCAGGATGGTCTTGATCTCCTGACCTCGTGATCTGCCCATCTCAGCCTCCCAAAGTGCTGGGATTACAGGCATGAGCCACCACGCCCAGCCTATTGTACACTTTATTTCTATTATTATTGCATTGTAATATATAATGAAATAATTATACAGATCACCATCATGTAGAATCGGTGGGAGCCCGGAGCTTGTTTTCTTGCAAATAGACGGTCCCATCTGGGGGTGATGAGAGACAGTGACAGATCATCAGGCATTAGATTTTCATAAGCAGTGTGCAACCTAGATCCCTCATATGCACAGTGCACAATAGGGTTCCCACTCCTATGAGAATCTAATGCCACTGCTGATCCAACAGGAGGCAGCGCTCAGGCAGTAATGCAAGCAATGGGGAGCGGCTATAAATACAGATGAAGCTTCACTCGCTCGCCCTCCATTCACCTCGTGCTGTGCAGCCTGGTTCCTAAGATGCCATGGAGCAGTACTGGTTTGCGGCCCAGGGGACAGGGACCCCCATTCTACATCATCTCCCAGAGGCTCCCAGAGAAACTGAGTCCCAGTTGCCTACATGGGTCATAAGCTCGTCCATGCCTGTAAATTGGCTTCCTTCCTTTTCCTACCTGCCCCTCTTCACTTTCCTCCTTGTCTTCTGGTACTTCTTGGAAGTCCCTCCCAGATAAACAACTTGTATCAAAATTCTCGTCACAGGATTTGTCCCTGGCGAAACTCAAGCCAAACTTATAGTATGTTTTGATACCTGTCAGTCATGGTTCTTCTCCATCAAAATGTTCTCAGCTATTCTTGTGCAATTTCTTTTTTTAGATGATTTTTACATGACTCTTGCTTTAAAGGTTTTACTTTACTTTTTGAATAAGTCATGTGTGCACCTGGAACCAAAAGCCATCAGTCTCTACAGTGATAATGAAAGCTGGCTCCCAGCCGGGCGCAGTGGCTCACGCCTGTAATCCCAGCACTTAGGGAGACCGAGGCGGGTAAATCACCTGAGTTCAGGAGTTGGAGCCCAGCCTGGCCAACGTGGTGAAATCCCGTCTCTACTAAAAATACAAAAATTTGCTGGGCATGGTATCACGTGCCTGTAATCCCAGCTACTCAGGCGGCTGAGGCAGGAGAATCGCTTGAGCCCGGAGGAGGAGGTTGCAGTGAGCTGAGATCACACCATTGCACTCTAGCCTGGGCGACAAGAGGGAAACTTGGTCTCAAAAAAAAAAAAAGAAAAAAAAAGAGAGAAAAGAAAGAAAGCTGGCTTCCTCCCCATTCTCTGATCTGAAGAAGTTTCTCTCCCTAGTTGCAACCTCTATATCGTATTCCTGATAATCCACTTATTAAATTTGTTGTAAAATCTGTTTGGCAATCCTTCAATAGAATTTTGAAAATCTATTTGTGAGTAGGTAGAGCACAGAGGATTTTTAGGGCAGGCAGGGAAACTACCCTGTATGATACTGCAACATCGTTACACATTTGTTCAAAGCATAGAATGTACAACGCCAAGAGTAAACTCTGATGTAAACTGCAGACTCTGGGTCACAATGATTTGTCAGTACAGGCTCATCCATTGTAACAGTGCACCACCCACTCTGGTGAAGGACGTTGCATAAAGGATGTTAATAGTGATACAAGCAAGTTGCTCAGCTATCACCTCATGTTGGTGCTCTCCAAAGCTCAGCCCTACCCAAGAAAATCTTATGCGTCAGTATCTAATTTTGGGGGGCAATTGGCAGAAATGTCCATCAAGGCGAATGTGAATGTTTTGGGGAAAACATCAAATGTAAGCAGACCACCGTGGCGTGCTGCAAGTGTTTTAATAGCCAGCTCTCAGGAGGGAAAGTATCAGTACTTTCGGAAAACTTAAAGGCCGGGAGAGAATGGGATGATGTATTCAGAGTGCTGAAAGAAACAAACTGTCAGGCGAGTGACACTGCTGTAATCCTTTGCAGTGAGTCACTCAGTCCAGTTCCACTCAAAGGAGTGTAAAAATGTGTGAACATATGTTAAAACCGCCATGCTAATTAGTAAGTATTTGAGGGGGAGGCGAAACTTGGAGGTTATGGATCTGCAGCATCTCGGCTCTTGCCTCATCAGAGGAAAGAATTCATCTAAGAAGAATAAGGCAGAAAGTGAGACTGAGGCAAGTTTTAGTGAAGGAGTGAAAGTTTATCAAAAAGTTTTAGAGCAGGAACAACAGGAAGTAAAGTACACTTGGAAGAGGGCCACCCAGGCAACTTGAGAGACTGAGGTGCTCAGTGCAGCCTTTGACTTGGGGTTTAATATGTTGGCATGCTCTGGAGTTTCACATCTCTTCTCCCCTGATTCTTTATTGTTGAGGTGGAGTTT